GTTGGCAAATTTGATTTTAAATTAATAGATGTGCTGTTGGAAATTTGATTATCTGACAATAAGTGGAGTGTCGGTTTAATGGAACAAATGGCTGTTGGCTTCATATTCATCCGATTTAATCGGACGACTCGTATAGCCAATTAAAAACAAAAATCGCGAGCCGATGAATTTAACATGGAAAGGGTGAGGCCGTGAACAGATGTATTCAATCGCGGAATATGCGCTCCGCACGTACAATATATTTTATTGTCAATTAATTATCTCGCTTTATTAAACACTCATCCCGCGTACTATGGTAAATACGCATTTGCAATTAACCCGAAGATTGCCTCGCCATAACATACCTATGTATTCACGGTTGGTACACGCATGCAATACCTATATTTCGAAAAATTGAAACTAAATCATCCGTTAGAATTTAGAAAAATAAAATTTGTACGTATAGCAAAGGTCAAGCGGGCAACCACACTTCTGTAAGTTATACAGGGTGCAACAGGAAATAAGTGCCGTGCTATGGAGGGTGTTAATTAGATGAAATAAGCTCAACAGTGTAGTTAAAGGATAATTTTTTTCAAGAAAATTACAATAATTTACAATGCGAAGCTGGTCCTGTACGTCAGAGGCGGGCAAACTAATTTCGTAGGAGCCGCTACTTGAGGTTAGTTTGAGTCATTCCATACCCTTCAATGAGTACGAGAGAGTAAGCGGTACTGACCCATATTGTTTTCTCTTTTTCTTCTCCCTTCCACTCCCATATCAAGCCCCTTCATCCCGTAGACAAGCGAAACCTCTCTCGCAACTTAAAAAATACCTACGAAAATTTTCGTTACTACGATCGTAGTACTATTGGGTTTGGCTATGGAAGAGGGGACTCATCTACGAAATGAAAGGGAAGAAAAGGAATAAATCATCTCACTCGCACTCGCAGGATCAATGAGGAGCTCCTTGGCTATACCTGAGAAGCACTCGGGAGTCAAAAGAGCCGAGTTTGCCCGGTTTTGCTGTACGTGAATTGGCAGTACAGGTGTCTACCGAATACCGTAGTGCGATAAAAACTCTGCAGCTCGATGGAGAATGTAAACATTGCTGATAATCGAACGTCTAAGATAAACATAAACAATTCGTACTACACCTAGTGTTTGGACTAAATAAATTACATAAGTATATAGCAGAGCCGGGCAAACTCGGCTCTTTTGACTCCCGAGTGCTCCTCAGATATAGTTAAGGAGCTACTCACTGATCCTGCGAGTGCGAATGAGATGATTCTTTCCTTTTCTTATCCCTTCCATTTCGTAGGTGAGTTTCCTCTTACATAGTCAAACCCAATAGTATTGCCATCGTAGTAACGAAAATTTTCGTAGGTATTTTTTAAGTTGCGAGAGAGGCTTCGCTTGCCTACGGGATGAAGGGACTTGATGTGGGAGTGGAAGGGAGAAGGAAAAGACAAAGCAATATGGGTCAGTACTGCTCACTCTCTCGTACTCATTGAAAGGTATAGAGTGATTCAAAATAACCTCAAGTAGCGGCTCCTGCTAAGTTAAAGTTTGCCAGCCTCTGCATTATAGGCACCACGATGTAAATATACGAACACAAAAGAAAGAAAAAATGTGACTTACATATACAGTAGACGGTCAATGAGCATCATGTGGATAATTTTGATAGTTTTGATATATTATTATCTTCCATATATATATATAAATGAATGTTTGTCTGTATGTCCTTTATGGAATCGTAAACTATGCATTTAATCATTTTATGATCTTTAGCAAAGTTGTTGTGCATGAGCCAAAGAAGGTTTCTGAGTTGGTACGACCAATTTTCGAAGCTTGGCTTTAATGCTTTTTCATATAAAATTAGTGATATACAAACCTATTTCAACATTTTACAAAATCCTACCTCTTTAGGAAACTGAAAGGGGTTTGCAAAGTTTGGATGTTTGTTTTTGGTCCGATTTAATTGAAACTGGTTAAAAAATTCAATCTCTGTTGGGGTGGAGGAGTGGTGAAGAGGAGTTGCAAGGTTTAAATGGTACATATGTTATTTGTGGTCAGATTTACTTGAAACTTGGTCTTAATGGTCTCTCATTTAATTTCTGAAAGATCTATCTCGACATTTTAAAAAATTCAACTTCCAAAGGGGAGGGGGGTAAAAAGGTGTTGTAATTTTTGTTTGGGACATACTTTATTTGTGGTGGAATTTACTTGAAACTTGGTATATATATGCTGTATATTATTAATCAAATGAAAAGAGGTTGCAACGTTTCCATGGGGTATATTTTATTTGTAGGTACTCGGATTTACTCGAAGGTTGCTCATTGTTGAAATCAAGTAGATACGTGTTTTAGCAATTTTTAAAAATCAACCCTTAAGGATGAAATGTTGTTGCTACGTTTGTATTTGAAATTGAAGATGGCGACATTACATAAAATTAAAACGTTGTAAGAGTGAATTTAGATTTAAATGGTTTTATGGGGAAACAATATTAATTTCTGCGTGCGAAGCCGCGGGGAAAAGCTAGTTTTAAATAAATATGATAATAATTTTAATATGTCGTATACACGAAGATTGTCTTTTTATGAGTTAGTGGTGTACGTTATTTGAGTGCTAAGATGCATGAAACATTAACGTTTGGCCACATCCTTGACCGTTTCCTTAGCTCATTCTAGTTTTAGCCAAGTTAGTCGTAAGTGTGTAATATATCGAATAAGACGCCATACGCTGCGTGGTAAATCACCCGTTTACTGCCACTAAAACAGGCGATTGCCAGGGATTATGCGATATAGTTGGTTAGTTTCTGCAATTACAGCAGTTTCCGAAATGGCAGAGTAGCTTCATTGATAATATTTTATATCTATATACCATTTAAAAGACGGTTTATTAAGAAATTAAATTCAAAATAGTTGACAATAAAAAAACATTATAGTATGAAAACAATTGTATTGGAATTAGTTATATAAGGAAAATAGGTCGTATTCTTGGTTCTATCAGAAATGTGCATAAAGGCGTTTGAGGTAGGGACCAGGGCTCCCACAAATTAGGGGCTCATACAAAACTATGTTTAAACTTAATTTTGTTTATTACCCTATCCTCATTCCTCTTATATTCCTTATCTCATGTCCTACGTTATCTTCACATTAATACTTCAATGATTTATTTTACCTCAATAATGTCCTAGCAACTGCTCCGTATTCATTCAAAGTAATGCCTTAAATGCAAAGAAGAAAACAATTCCGAAAGAAAAATATTAATAAAACACGCGTTGGATAATTTCGGTGATGCCAACCCTGGAACAGTCGGGATCTCATAATACTTGATATCTGAAATCGTTATTTGCCAGGAAATCGATAAAATTTTTGAAACTATCTTTTTTACAGTATTTTGTATCGTCTACGTTACTAATAGCCTTCGGTCCCGAATTGTTAAATTCGCCTTTGGATAAATGCCACAGTTTCCTTAACAAAGCCAAAAGTACGACTTATTATCTAATCCGTAAAACTATTACAAAAAACTTTGCAAACGCAAATTGAAACTGGTTTTATTTTTTACATTTTTACAGTTAGTTTTTTAAAGGAATTTCTTCATTAATAAGAATATACTCTCATAATTCAACAATGAAATTAATTTAAAAATGTACAGTAGATAAATAATTGCGATTTTTGTTAGGACGAATTATCAATAGTTTGTAGCGATGTGTAGCAGTTGAAACCAAAACTTACTGTATAGTTACAAATGACACAAATCTCGAGCCCAAGATGGCTTAGCTTTGTTCATGTTTTTCAAAACGGAACAAAAGTTTGGAACCTTTTTTCTATGAAATTCAAAGTATTAATATTTACATATATCCATTAATTTTAACAAAATTATGTGCCTATACCAGTTTCGCGTGATATCAAAATTCAACTAACTTGTTTTCAAATTAAATAATATACATTTCACGATTATATGATTCAATTAACATCAACTTTTATTCTTACAATGGAAACAATTAGTACGTAATAGGTATACTTTATTAATTTATTTAACCTGCCCCGTTGAGGCAACTTATAGAAATGACTTTTATTTTCTGCAGTCTACGGCAGGGTATACCTCATATTATAATAAATACCGAAAAAACGTTCCAGAAATTTCGATATTTTCCTAAGAAATGATTGATTTATTTATGTAACGTATTTTCATCTGGATAACGTAAATCAAACATATTAAACACAAACAAAGACTGGAGCAAATTTCCACAATTGTAAAAATTTTTATTAGAAATACTAGCAAATATAAGAACAGAAATAATTAGTAGGGAAAATGAACATAATATTGTATTAGTTACTCTTTTTTACAAGCGGTTCGTCTCTCTTTACAACATTATGGAATGCGTATGTAACTTCAAATTCCTCTTATGTGTTATTTCTTATTCATATTGTAACGAATTCGTCTAAACCAACAGTCGACAACTGTCGGTAAAGTAAATTACTCAAATACCACTACAGTTTTATAGTCAAATTTACGTTTACTGTTAGTAAAGTTATTTCTTATTAACTGCTAATACAAAAATTTTACTATTCACGCATGCGATTTGCATGTTTTTATTTTTTTTTTTTTGTAAGTGCCTGTTATTATCTTAATTTTTATACTTTACAGGTACAAAAATTTAAATATACAATTGAGTACATAAATTATTTTTCCATAAAGTCCATTCTAATATTAGGTTGTAGAGACTTTATAGGTAACAAGTATTCAAAAGAGTAATAATTAATAATTCCAGAAGTTTATCTAATTTCATTTTTGCAAATGATTAAAAGTAATTTGTATTTTAAATTCTTAATAGTTTCGTATTTCGTACATTAAATCTTTAGTGGCTTATCTATGGTACCTTGTATTAATATTGTTCGCATCTCTATTTTTGCCGTAAACAACTACTTATAAAACATGCACATCTTTAATAAACAACGATATCAGTCCGAAATGCGAGAAAGTTGGTAACTCAGTTAGCCTTGAAACAGTAAAACGCCTGTTTGTTCCAGTTCAGTGGACCGGTGGACGGAATGTGGTGGTTTGGTTGATTCGTGTTAAAAAAGCTCTCCTTTGATTGTTAAGTATGTACATGATAAAAATTCATAAACAATTTTTGAAACTGTAGATAAATATACGTGTGTAAATATGCACTCTTCATTTAATTTAAATTAGTAATGAAGTAGCCGCTGCAATTATTTAAATGATCTCGCTTCTCTATTACATTATGTACTTCTTTTATGAACATGTCTTGTCGTAATGGAGCCGTACTGTGTCGTTACGTTTGTTCATTGGTTATTATTACGATTGCAATTTAATAGAAGGTGTATTACCTGTTAACTTGAAAAATGTTCCTATTATAGATTTTCTTAGAATTTGAGATTAGAATTATTGATTAAGTAATTATGATAATGTAATTAACCTGGTTTCTCTGTTTTACAGTTATCAAGTGAGATAAGAATGACCAATCTTCATGAGTCTAAATTAAAGGTAAGATTTATATTTTTTATTTTGGTAAAATGTTTTGTTGGAGTTTTTGATTTCAATTTTGACGATAAATGACTAATTCTTTCTCACCTATTCGGCGGTTTTTAAAATCCTCGGTTACATTTAAAGAAAATGAGTATTTTAACAATAGTTAATATTCCCTGTTGAGGTACTTCTTTGTCAAAGATTAGTTGTGGCGTGATTTTGGTCGACGATTTGGAAGATTTATTACTTCCTTAAAGTAAGTAACGAGTTCCTGTTTGGAGTTAGAGTTATTTCTAGGCATTTCACTTTTCGCAATTAAACTTGAAACGCTCCGAAATAATTGTAGAAATCAAAGTTGGTTGGGGTAAATAAATTTTTAAATTATGGACGAGTGGTACCTTTTTGAGAAGCTTAAGTCAATACTTTTCTAATGTTACAATTCCCAGCGCACGGTGAAGAAGTTGATCTTTGATCCATTTTAGCAACAAATACACTATTTGAAGTGTCACCTATGGATGGGACAGAATACGCCCCTTGAGGAAGGGAGAACTAAATGTTTTTATGTAGAATTTTGGGTTTGAGGGTTTTATTTATTTTAGTATTACAGTATTCCACTTGATTTTCTAATATAGATATAGACTTGAGTTGTTAAAATTAGTGGATGCCCTAATTGTTTACCCATTCCAAGTGTTTATAAAAATAAATATCTATTATTTTCGTAAAGGAAAAAGGCCTACACTGAAGAAGAAACGTCAGTGTCCTCTGTGACAATTTAATTAATACCTACCTACTGTCTTTGATTTCTAAAATAATAATAATAAGAGGAAGTAGAAATTGAGCCCAGAATTAGTTCCAACCGTAAACTGCTTCAATTTTTAATATTCTGCGTATAAACGTAAATTGACTTCTGAAAAATACAATTTTTCGGTATTGAATTTGCTTATTTTAAGAAAATTTTATGAAATTTTGGAGCGAAACTAGTCCGGAAATGCTTTCGAGTATACAATCGGAAAAAAATTGTTCCTTTTTATAATCATATTGTTTTAATATTTTGGGCAATAACAGAGCTGAAGACACCCGGAAATCTTTTGTCTAAAACTCGCATCCCGCATAGTTTTGGTTATTTCTAAGTGAATTAGAAAGTACACTCGAAAATAATCCTTTACTAAAAATTTCGACTATTTGAAATTGCTTTGCTCTGGCAGTTTCACATCATTATTTTATTTTATGTGTGCTTGATTTTTCCTGATTTACCTACTAATCACAAATCTAAATCATAATGCTAATTGTACTAAGAATCAACTAAAACAGTAAAGACAACTTTTTTTAAACAACTTAACATTCCAGGAGTTCTCTATTGTTTTCAATATGCCTAAGATATTTGCATAATATGTAAGATCTGTATATTTTTTATTTGACTTGAAAACAAATTGGTCGCATTTTATCACTATATATAGTATAAAACAAAGTCGCTTCCCGCTGTCTGTCCCTATGTATGCTTAGATCTTTAAATCTACGTAACGGATTTTGATGCGGTTTTTTTTAAGATAGAGTGATTCAAGAGGAAGGTTTATATGTATAATACATGCATAATATAGTAGAGAAATACTGATAATTTTAGAGATTTGTAATGTGATGTCGTAAATAAACACATTTTTTGCTCTTACATTGCAAACGCTGGCTGAACCCTACGAGATAGATCAAAATAATGTACTACAATATTGTACATCTTAAAAGGGTCTACAAAAAAGTCCGGGATGGTATATGTCTATCTCTTAGGGATAACCCACAATAACCATTTTTATACTTTACTTTTTATGAGAAATAATGACTTATTTACGAAGCGATTGTAGGTAATACAGCATTAATTCTTATCCAATTAAGTACTTTTAAATACATTGTGCATTTAATATAGATCAATATGGCCCTTTACAGCATGTAATTTAAATGAATATTTTCGAAGATATTACAGATTTAAAATGCAGGGACATAGCGGTTGCGGCGGTACCGGCCGGGAGGCCGGTTTGTATTGTCTAATGACAAAAACACTGTGAATGTTGTATATAAAGACATTCTGTATTATATTTAGTATGTTCAGGGGGTATATTTTGAAGATTTCCCCTTTTCGATAATAATCTGAACAAAACAAAAATATATTTAGTATCAGCATTACACCCGTGCGAAGCTGGGGGGGGGGGTTCGCTAGTTTAATATAAATATAAAGCATGTGTAATAGATTGTAGAAGTCGCTTCATTTGTTACCCGTTCGTTTTGCACTTACCTGTGTGTGTGTGTAATTTGTCGGCTAGTCTTTTCATGTCCATAAATCAAGAAGGGAGTTATCTATTCACGTATGAGTACATATGTATGTATGTACCTATCTACTTCAATTGCGGTTTGCATTTAATTAGTTCGATATGAACATGACATCGTCGATCGTTGGCGAGGGCACAAGAGCACAATTTAATAACAGCGTATTGTGTTTCACGTGTAGTTTATCGAATATTGAGTTTCTGAAATGACTTGGCCTGTTGTGAGCCAACCAACGTAATGATAGCACAATCGATTAGGCATGCGGTATGTTTAATGTAATTACCAAGTTTTACCATTGCACTTGGGCTACTTTGTGTTAAGCCACGGTCACCACCCTGTAAAATAGCGAATAGTGTACCGGGCGGTTCGATCGATATGTAGGGCATTAAGGTGCGGGGGTATCAATATCAGCGCTGAGGCAGCAATATTCCACAAATAATCTTTCATTCTCTTCTGTTTTCATTTCGTCCGTCACATCTTTCTCACCCGAACCATCACCCACCCATTCCCACGATTCCCGAAAGCAGGCTGAACAGGGCCTTCCGCCCTACATTCCGGCGTAATCCGGAAGGACTGCCCGCCCACCAGCATTACTGGCTGGTGGGAATGAAACACCCAAAAGTTTTAAAGTTTTTAGTTTTTCAATATCAACGTATCTAACCATTTCGGTAATGTAGCAAATTAAAAAGTATTTCTTTAATTCAACTACAATAATAATCGAAAATGGTGGATAGTGAAGTAAGAATTTAACTATCTTATTCATACGTCCTGACTGTAAGGTTTAATTTGTTTCTTTCGTTTGTATAAAATACAGTAAAGCGATTAAGAATTCTTTAATCCTTTAATACTTTAAATGCTTACATTAATAGTAACCAATTAACATATAGGACTTATAGTCTAAAAGCTTCGTTTAAAATGTACTACAATAAAATTTTGTTAGTTACAAGTGTGTTCACAAGCTTATATGCGTACTATCATCATCATAAGGTCGTCAATCCTAAGACTGATTGTACACGCACCTCCACTGTTTCCTTTCCTGAATTATTCGCATATGTGTACTATATTGGCTACAGAATTTTTCTTCAATGGAAGAAAAATTCTAATAAATTGTAAAATATTAATTCTAAAAAAAATGTTACAAAAATATTTATTTGTTTTTTGACCTACCTTAAAAAAAATAACTGACCGCGTTTCTGGGGTCTCTATATGCAGGAGAATGTGCTTAATTATTGATGAGTCAACGCAACCAAGACAGGTCTATTGTCAATAGTTTTAGTCTTGGTCTCTAGCAAGCTGTTCATGACATCAATTTTTTTAAAATTGAGCTTTTTTTTTATTCAAATACATGCAACGTCTTGAAAAATTGAATTATTTAAACGGTTTATACTCTTAATTATGTATTTACTTACCCACTTACATATTTTTTGAAAAATTTGAACTCGAGTTTTTGTTCGCTTGACGAACACAGTATTTTAAATTAATCCTAAACTCTTGAAGTGGAATTTCTTCGTTTTCTAACTTGAAAATTCCCCTAACTGAAGATTCGAGTGCCGATTTTACATTAAAAATTGTCTCTTTAATTCGAATTCAATTAATAAATAACCAAAATAACACTTTCAAAATTGTAGTCTTGATCTTGTTCTTGGCTAAACGTGCAAGACTAAGACAAGAAAAAACAAAACTGCAAGACTGCTAATCACTTTTGTTAACGTGAGTAATACGAAAAGCAATGGTTCTTTTTACAAATTGCCGTTATTACTTATAAATGTAATAATTAATTATGTTTCATAAACACAATAAACAAGTAAATTCGAGTTCTAAAATAGTGAAACAACATTTGCTTGTTTCTGAATCATTCAATTGGGTTCTTTTATGCTTATCTTTCAGTTGAGCACCATGGACAGGTTCAGCGCACTATAGGAGGCACAGTGTAACTGCTGTTGTTGTTGTAATTATATCAAAATCTTGGAATCAAGTGATTTTTGTTTCGTCAAATACGCATATTTCGATTGTTTGACAGTTATGCTAAAAATGTATCCTTAACGCCAAAAGGTTTTTTCTTGATTACTTAAGATCACAAATTACGGTAGGTACAGGCAACACAAACGAAGTCAGTGTGTCGTTGTCATGCCTTTTTGTTTGAAATTGCTCTAATTATCTAGGCTTGTTATAATTGTTGAATGTAAGTCCATAGTAGCGGGTGGTTAATTCACTAGATGTCTAGATCTTCGTTCGGTGCTTGACTGTGGAGGTATGTTTAATGACTACGTGTATTCGGTGTCCAATTCAGTTAAGATACGCCCGTTTGGTTGCCAATAACCTGGACAGTAAGCTTGCTCTAGGGAAATTGGAAAATTTTTATTTGGATTTGTTTATGATGTATCTAATAATTATTAATCAGGTTATTTCACTCGGTATATGTTTTTACACATGTTTACCGTGTATATATTTCCAATGTAGGGACCTAACGACTGAACAAAATTCCCTTTGGCTACACGTTAGTCGTTGCATACATACAAACTAATACACACACGCATCCATACGTAGGTATAATGTCCAAGCCTGACGCAGATAAATATTTACAAATAGTGACTTTCCTTGTTTGCGCACATGTGCATAACTCCGTGGGTGCAATTATCGATGATTTAAATCAATTTCAGTAATGGCTCTGGCAATAATTTTACCAGTTTTGCATAGATTGTGTG